GCAGAAACATCAGGGTCGTGTAGACCTTTCTGCTTCATCCCGTGGGCTCCTAAGAAGCCACAGGAATCCCTGAGGCCGAGAACAGTCTGTCTGTCCTCTGGGGGAGCCGTGGGAGAGTCTGAGCTAGACCCAGGCCTCCATGCTGGCCCTGAGAGCAGCAGATGCTGGAGTGGAGGCGGGAACACCAAGCGGGCGCAGACCCCCGGGTGCGAGGTGGAGCCAGGGCGACGAGGTGCAGGAGGCAGGCCTGGGGGCTGCAGGCACACTCACCTGTCATGATTCCCACGTAGCAGTAGCTGTAGCTGAGCGTCTCCATCAGGGAGGGAACGTCGGGCAGGAGCCCTAGGCTGGGCCCCTTACTGAAGCCGGAGGCCATTTCCTTCCTCTGGGCCAAGTGCAGGTCCTGAACTTCACTGGCCAGACTCACCAGCTGGGAGGAAGGGGCGAGGGCAGGGGACAGATCAGACAGAAGAGGCAGGGTAGTGGCTTCTTGCCCGCCAACCCTCCCTCCTGGGCCCTTCTACCTCGGTGCTCCCTTTCCTGGGTTCTTCTGCAGCCCGTGGCTTGATACCACCCATGCTCTCATGATCTCCAAACTGTACCCCTGGACTGGGCTCCTCCCTCCAACCCCCAAACCCCTCAAGGTGCCTTGTGTCATTAGTAGTCGGGTGCCTACGGGGCTCCTCAGACTTCACACATCCAGAGGGAAACACAGTATCCCCCCACTCCCCACAGGGGGTCCTCTTCCAGCCTGTCTCCTCAGCAAATGCCACCAGCAGCCAATTAATCGCTCAGGACAGAAACCTTCCTTACTCCCCAAATCTAATCCCGTAGATCTTAAGAGTCTGTCGCTTTTGTGCTGCCTCCCCCCTCCCCGGGGCTGAATGTATGTGGCCTGCCCGCCCCCCCACCCCCCGCTCTCTACCCTTCTCCGCAGACCCTGGGCTGGGCCTACAGCAGCGGGCCTCAGCCCGGCTTCCCGCTTCCCCCGGCCTCCTGCCCGTCAGGAGCCCTGGGCGGAGAGGGGGCAGGCAGGCGTTGAGGGCTGGGCTTTCCTTCCCTTGTAAGATCACCCGGGGCTGGCTGTGCCCCTCGATCGATCTTCTCGAGGTGGGGGCTACCCGGCTGCTGGTCCAGGATTCCTGCACTGTCCTCTGTGGCTCCTCAAATCCCCCCCAATGCAGGATCTCCTGCTGTTCTGACTATCAAGCCGCTACTGCTTGTCAGCAGACTTCTGATCAAGGAGGCCATCCTCACCCTTCTTGCCCTTCCCGTGGCAATTCCATCAGCATCCAGAGCGTATTTCCAGACGTGTAAACCTGGTCACTTTTACCTCTTCTGGCAACAAACCAAACCACCATTTCCGGTGCATCCTGGGCCCCATGGGAAGCGCAGAGCCCTCACCCTGGCCCCGTTCCCCTTCCTTCTCCTGATGAACACTCGCTGGGGCTAGCACAGGCCTGCTCCCACATCCTGAAAGGCTCTTCCTCCAGCTCTTGGCTAACCCACTCCAGCCTGCCCCCGCCTTCCCGTGCAGAAGCCAGGACGCCAACGGGACCTGGTTCACTACCTCGTGTGACTGTCCTGGATGGAGCTCAGCACCCAGGAGCTCCTGACTTTTCGGTCTGGGGTGGGGCCTGGGGATCTGCTTTCACCCATCTTCCCGGGTGATACACAGCCAGACACGGGCGTCCTGGTTTTGTGCCCTTAGGTAAGTGCCTTCTCTCCAAAGCTGTTTTTCCTACTTTGAGAAACGGCTTGCGACCAACATGCGCTCCTCGAGAACGCGCTGGTGAAGCACTTAGCTCACGCTCTGGCACGCTGCACACACCAGAGGACGCCGACGGGTTATACTACGGGGATGGGGGGTGGGGGGGGATGTACTTCTTTACCCCAGAGAATAGCTGAGAGGTGAAGTCCCACCCCTGGGGGGCGTGGGAGATAAAAGCCCGCCTCCCCTGCTCCCCATGGGAGTGGGCGAGAGGAGGAGGTGAGGATGGGGAGTTCAGGCGGCACAAAGGGAGGGCTGGAGGGCAGTCTGACCTTCAGCGTGAGCAGCAGCTGGACGGCATTGGTGAAGGGCGTGGGAGTGGGCAGGCCCAACAGGCTGAGTGCGCGGAAGAACAGGAGGTAGGAGAAGGTCCAGGCGAGGGCGAGGGCATGGCAGGAGCTGGGGCAAAGGCAGAAGGCCAGCTGTGCTGGGTACAGGGCCCTGGCCTCCGCCTCCCCCAGATTCTAGCTACGGATCCTCCCACACCGCCCACAGAAAATGGGAGAGCGACCGTGGAAGAAGGGGCGCAGCCACACAGAGATGCGCGACGAGAGAGGAGAGAAGGAGGGCTCAAGAGAAGCTTTCGGGTGAAAACCCTCCGGTCCTCCATTTTTTCTGCGGGAGGCAAGCAAAAGGGAGGGAAAGAGACGTAATAGAAACACGAATGGTGGCAGGGCCAGTGCAAGTCCTCCTTTCTCCTGAATACATGACTTGGACATCAAGGACCAGGCCAAACACACAAGGACGAGGCCCAGAAGAAAAGGCAGAAGAGGAAGAAAAAAAGAAAAACAGGCCAAATGACACAGAGAATTCGGAGAGTAACAAGAGACACTCAGAGACAAAGGCAGAAAGGGAGACAGACCCAAGGAGGAAACAGGTTGCTTCCTCCTTCCCCTCTGTTTCCCCCCCCCCCACCCCCCCCCCACCAAATCCTCACCAGGGCTGGGCCTGGATGAGGGCCCAGGTCCCAAGGATGGTGATCAGAGAGTGCAAAGTGTGGGGGCCGCAGGTGAACAAGGTGAGCCCCAGGCCCACAGCTGCTGCCCCCCATCTCTTCAGCCCAGGTCCTGCAGGGAGAAGGGACAGCATAAGCCTGGAACCTTCCAGGGAGTCCCCTGCCCGGTCTCCCCCACGCCCCCCCCCCCAATTTTCCACTAGGGGGGGGAACCTGACTCACCAGCTTTCTTAAAGAGGAAGCCGATGGGGATGGAGATAAGAAGAACCACTAGATAAGTCCATTCTTCAGGCGACATGGTCTGGGGGAGGGGCAGAGGTTTGTAGTAAGAACCCAAGAGTCCGTCCTTCTGCTCTTCCCCCTTGGAGGATTCAGGAATCCACCCTCCCTAGTCCCCAGCTGTCGAGGATCATGGAGTCCTAGTCTCAGCTCCTCTCCTCTTGAGAACAGGGCGATCCGGACCTCCAGAACATTCCTCCTCCCAGGATGAAGGGATCCACCCCCAGCCCCGCTTTTCCGCGAACCCAGGCCACCAGCCCTCTTACCCCGTGAGAACCCAGGAATCCCGACCTCTCAACGCCGCTCTGCGATCGCAGAAATCAAAGCTCCTCCCCCCACCCTCACTGAGGACCCAAAGATTCAGACATCGCTTTCTGAGAACCCAGGAACAACCCTTGGCCTGGGCCCTTCCCTTGGAGAGCCCAGGATTCCAGAGCTCCCAGCCGCCGCCTCCTTCGAGCATCCAGGAGCGCAGCCCTCCCTCTCCGAGAACCCAGGCTCCAGCCTCCACCTCCTCCCGGGCTGCAGACGCGTCTCCCACCTAAAGCCCGGAGGACGCCCCCCACCCAGCTCCTCCCCAGCTTCCCGCCACCCCCCCAGCACGGGTCAGACCTCCTCGGCAGAGCCACAGGCGGCTACGCCACTCCCCTCTCGGCCGCGTTCTCGGCTCCTCGCCAGCCCCGGTCGGCCGGCGGGTCCGCAGCCCCCCGCCTCGCCCCCGAAGCGCCCCCGCCCCGGCCCACCTGGGCCCGGCTCCACGCCGCGGCCAAGCAGTCCCGGCCCACGGGCGCCCCGGCTCCGGCCACGCCTCCCCCGCCGAGCGCGCGCCGCTCTGTCGCGGTCCGCGGCCGGGTGCGCGGCACCGTCAGGCTGCAGGCCCGGCAGGCAAGCGGCCGGCTCCGAGCGCCCGCGAGGACCACTCCGCCTCTGCACCTGGACCTCACGGCAGCCGAGCCCAGAGCACGTAAAGAGGCGGGGCCGCGAGCTTGGAAGGAGGCGGGGCCCGGAACTTCGGGCTCGGAGGGACGTGTCGGGACCGGGGGGAGGCGGGGCCTCCGCTTCGGGTTCCTTCGGGCAGAACCGGTGGCAGTTTGGAGGCGGGGCCACAAGCTTCGGTTTATTTCGGAGGTCTCTGTTCGGATGTAGGCGGGACCAAGAGCTTCGGCTGGATGTGGGCGGGGTCACAGCGCCTGTTTGACTTAGATTAGGAGATAGGCGGTGTCTGGGGTTTTTTGAGAAGGAGGCGGGGCCACAAACTTAGGCAACACGAAGGAGGCGGTGATCTAGAGAGTTCCAAGGGGGCGGGGCTAACAGCAGCTCATCCTGAGGGGGCGGGACCCCGGTGACGTGTCAGCCACCGGGGCGGGGCCAAGGTAATTGGCCTCCCTTTCCCTAGAGGCGGAACCCAAGCGGTGGAGGGAGTGTCGCTTCGAGGGGGCGGGGCCAAGGTGTTCCGCTTCAGGGGTTACGGCGCCACTGGGGGCGGATCCCAGACTTCCCGCTTCGCTGAGGTGGCGGCGTGACGAAATTGACGCAGGGGTTCGGGATGGGGAGGGGTGGAGGAAGTAGCGCGTGGCGCGCTACGTAGGGGTGGCTCCGCCGGGACTGCGAGCTGGTGTTTACGAGGTGACTAACTGGTTCTGTCGGAGCACGGTGCTGCATTCTGAGGGGAGCGCTCACGGGGGTGGTGAGCCCGCCCGAGCGGGGAACGGATGGCGGGTGCCCAGGGGGAGGGGCCTCCGGCTGTGGGGTTCGCTCAGTGGGGCGGGTACTCGCTCCCCAACCGGGAGGGCTTGCGGCCGGAGGGGGCGGGGCCTGGCTGCGGGATTGATGGGAGCCGAGCCGCCGGCCTTCAGGAGGGGCGGGGCTGCGGGTTCGGCCGGGCCGAGGAGGTCCGAACGCCCGAAAGCCTTGGGCCGGGGGGCGGGGCTTCTACGGTGGGCGTCTGACACCGCGCGAGGAGGCTCTGAGGCCACGCCTCGGTGGTTTGGAAAGGGGAGGGGCCGAGTTCCGAGTCACTGGGAGGGGGGCGTGGCCCCGCGCTAAGGGCGGTGTCTCTCCGAGCGGAGAAGGCGAGATGGCCGGAACGCTGACCGCAGGGTTGGGAGGGCCCAGCGGCTCCCCAGCGACTAGGCGAGGGGCGGGCCCTCGTCTCGTCGGCCCCGGGGCCTGGCGGGATCGCCTGGGTGGGGACGGGGTCTGGCGCCCAGGGGGCGGAGCCTGGCCTGGAGAATCGGCAGGTGGCAAGCGCGGCCCGGGCGAGGCTCCACCCCCCCCAGGCTCAGGGGCGGGGCCTCGCTGAGACCCTCCATCCCCCACCCCGAGGCGGTGGGAGCGCTCTGTCGGTGACCCCTGGGCCCCCCTGGCTCCCGCAGGAGGATGCTGGTGGTGGAGGTGGCGAACGGCCGCTCCCTGGTATGGGGAGCCGAGGCGGTGCAGGCACTGCGGGAGCGTCTGGGAGTGGGGGGCCGCACGGTGGGTGCCCTGCCCCGCGGGCCCCGCCAGAACTCGCGCCTGGGCCTCCCGCTGCTGCTGATGCCCGAAGAGGCGCGGCTTCTGGCCGAGATCGGCGCCGTGACCCTGGTCAGCGCCCCGCGCCCGGATCCGCGCCAACACAGCCTGGTAAGGGGCGGGCCGGGGACGTGAACGCCCTGGACCTGCGGAAGTAGAGGCAGGACACTCGGACTCCAGGTCCCTGCGGTGGGAGGGGTCTGGGCGTCCTGGATTCTGGAATGCTGTGCATTTAGGAGACTAGGATCCCCGGGTTCGGGCTTTGGGGTTGGGAGGAGTCAGCGAGTCAGGGTTCCTGGCTTCCTAAGGCAGCGCAGACTTGGATCCTGGGATTCCCGCTGGCTTACTTCTCAGGCCCTGGCATCCTTCAAACGCCAGCAAGAGCAGGGCTTCCAGGAGCAAAGCGCCCTGGCAGCCGAGGCCCGTGAGACTCGTCGTCAGGAGCTCCTAGAGAAGATTGCGGAGGGCCAGGCTGCGAAGAAGCAGAAGCTAGAACAGGAATCGGAGGCCAGCGAGAGCCAGGAGGCCGGTGCGAACCCGGATGCTGCAGAGAGTGAGGCCAGCGCTAGCCAGGCTCTTGGAGAGCCCGAGGAAGCAGGTGAGGGTGGGAGTGGAGTCCAGGGACCAGTGGAAGTAGGCGGGAGATCTTTTGGGAATCCTGGCCGGGAATCGAGAGCCTGGAACTCTCTGAGGGGTGGGAAGACCTTGTCCTTGGATTCACCAGACTCCTGCATTCACCTCCCCCAGGTTCCTCTTCTCCCCAGCCAGGGCCTTCAAATGGGGTGGTCCCCTTGCCCAGGTCCGCCCTGCTGGTCCAGCTGGCCACTGCTAGGCCTCGACCCATCAAGGCTAGGCCCCTGGATTGGCGTGTCCAGTCCAAAGACTGGCCCCATGCTGGTCGTCCTGCCCATGAGCTTCGCTACAGCATCTACAGAGACCTGTGGGAACGAGGCTTCTTCCTCAGTGCTGCTGGCAAGTTCGGGGGTGACTTCCTGGTCTATCCTGGTGAGTTTTGTGGGCACCTCCCATTGTTGCCCCTTTTTTCACAAGCCCACCACCGTCTGCATTTTCCCTTTTTGTCTTTTCTCAGCCTCTGAAACCCATGGAAGGACAGCAACACTTGGGAACCCAAGCCTGTTTGGAGGGCAGCTTAGCAAATTTGATTAAGCACTTTCTTTGATCCGGAAGTTTCACTTAGATACGTGCACAAAACATACAGGAAGTCGTCACTGCAGGATTCTTTACAGTAGCAAAATATCAGAAAGCAACCAGAATGATTAATAGGTTAGCGGTTACACATTGGTGTTAGTTGTGAGAAATTGATGTAGGTTCACGTACATTTACGAAAAAATGACCAAAGGGGAAGGAAAAAAAAGAACCACTTGTTGAAAACAGGTATGGTAGAAGTGCATTATGTTTTATGTTGTCATGGAGTTATACACACATTATTTAAGTAGCCTTAAAAGTCATGACTCTAGGGGCACCTGGCTGGCTCAGTTGGTGGAGCATGCTACTCTTGTTCTCAGGGTTGTAGGTTCAAGCCTCACGTTGGGTGTAGAGATTACTTAAAATATATATATATATGGCTCTAGTAAAAGAACATGAGAAGAACTTAGAATGGAGTACTGACTAGAAAGTAAGTAGCAAGTGGAAAAAGGCCTGAAAGCACGTACTCCAGCCCAAGTACAGTGGTTACCTCTGGGAGGGTGTAGGTAAAGGAGACTTTCAATGTATGTTACATTTTGAACTTGTAGTATGAGTGCCTTTATTGTTTAACTAAAAGGTTGAAAAAGTAAGTCTGCAGGAAAATCACCTTTTTTGTTCCTCCTGAGAACATAGAAGGATAGAAGCACCAGATAAGTAGTCAGATCTTAGCTGTTGGTTGGAGACCGATGGAGTCTTCTGCAGATGAGCCAAGAGCCTTCATCTCTTCTCAGACCAAACACTCAACTAAGGGACTAAGGGACCAAACACTCAACTAAGGGACTGACTTAGGAGTTTAGAACAGTTTACCTGCCCCGTTCTTTACAGATAACCACACTCTAATTACCTTACTACTGTTTTTTTGTGACTTGCGTATGTAAAAGATTATTCTGGTTTTGAAAATGAACTTAACATATGAATACTAATATCTAGTTCTTTTCTAAGCTTTCAGTGCAATTTACAAATCTTTTTTCCAATCTAGCAGATTTTAAGGGGACTGTTAGTCCATGTTTGATACCACTCGTGAAAGGAGTTACGTAATTTTCAGTGTTATAAGTTGCATTAAAAATTTTTTTTCAGGGGCGCCTGGGTGGCTCAGTCATTAAGCGTCTGCCTTTGGCTCAGGTCAGGATCCCAGGGTCCTGGGATCGAGCCCCGCATCGGGCTCCCTGCTCGGTGGGAAGCCTGCTTCTCCCTCTCCCACTCTCCCTGCTTGTGTTCCCTCTCTCTCTCTCTCTCTCTCTCTCTCCCCCCCCCCCTGTGGTGCCAAATCTTTTTAAAGATTTTATTTATTTGGCAGAGAGATAGAGATCACAAGTAGGCAGAGCAGCAGGCAGAGGGAGAGGGAGAAGCAGACTCCCTGCTGAGCAGGGAGCCCGATGTGGGGCTCGATCCCAGGACCCAGATCATGACCTGAGCCAAAGGCAGATGCTTAACCGACTGAGCCACCCAGGCACCCCTGCATTTTAAATTTTAGTGTGTTTATTTTCCTTGTTAAGTTGTATGGTGTTCTGGTTATGGAACCTGCCAGAAAGTCAGATCTAATAACTTGTAATTGGGGTAAGTTTTAAGTTTGTATGTTCTAATACTGTTAATAGCCTTACTAAAACTTGCGGTTAAAATAAGGGTAAATCCACCAATAACGCAATCACACATCTGAACCTGAACCAAATGACTGACCTGTTAGTTCTAATGGGTCAATATTTCTAAAAGAATACATACTCGGTATATGAGATATATGTAGAATCCTTGTTTCCTGAAGATTAAAATATTCAAGGACTAAGGCCCTTACCTATTTCTAACAGTGAAGCTTCCCGAACTTATAAAGGCCTTAAGCGTCTCGGAACAGTTTTGGGGTACCTTTCTCAGGTATTTTGATGCTTCCTTCTGCGCGGGCAGAGGTGTCACACCAGCCAGAGCGATGCCTGGCTCTTGGCTGGAAACCCAGCCAATAGTCCTCTCAGATGGGACATCTCACCGCCCTGCTCTTGTTGGTTTTCGTTACCTGGCACTTAACCTTCTGGGTGGTGCCCCATTCTGGCTCTGACTCTGCTTGATCAGATTTACCTGATCCAGGGGCAGACCACAGCCCCAGGTTTTAAAGGTCAAGTTACTGGGAGGCAGCCCTGTCTGCTCACATATGGCCTGTGGTTCCTGTGGTGCCAAAGTGGCAGAGGTGAGTAGTTGTAACATGGCCCATAAAACCAAATACTTACTGTCGGGCCCTTTTCTGAAAAATTGTATTAACTCCTTTATCCCACCTATTTATTACTCCATCGTATTGTAAATTCCTCTTTTAGTCTGTTAGAGTCACTTCTCCTTGGATATTCACGTGACATCCTTTGCATTCCTCATGGCTTTGACGGACTTTGTGGTTTTGGTTCTTACGTCACGACAGTGATCTGTTCAGTTAGTTGTTTTGTTTTTTAAATGCGATTATGCTGAATGTGTGGGACAGCTTGCCCCACCCTCTCTCTCCCCACGCAGGGTATCATCGACTTCTCCACATTGGTACATTCTTCTCGTTTTAACAGCTGTATGATACTCAGTCTTACAGAGAGACCATGAACTTAAGTCCGTGGTTTGGTTGTCTCCGTTTCTTAGCAGTTGTAAATGATAACAGAGTGAACATCTTCATAGGTATATTTTAGCACTGTTATCCTTATAAGTAAAAAATTCCAAGAAGTGGATTGCTGGGTCCAACAATAGCTATTTTGAAATATTGATAGTGATTACTAGGATGATTCCCGCCTCCTACCTGTGGACATTCTAGTGTCTTCCAGCCCTCTGCCACTGGGAACTGCTACGTGTCTTTCTCTCACCCAGGTGACCCACTTCGTTTCCATGCCCACTACATTGCTCAGTGCTGGGCTCCGGGGGACCCCATTCCACTGCAGGACCTGGTTTCTGCAGGCCGCCTGGGAACCAGTGTCAGAAAGACGCTGCTGCTGTGTTCTCCTCAGCCTGATGGGAAGGTGGTCTACACCTCCCTGCAGTGGACCAGCCTGCAGTGACTCCAGAGACCTGTGGGGATGTGGCTGCCTCTGTGGACAGAGCCTTTCTAGATGGCCCCAAGCTCATCTCTGCATATGGGACGCTGCAGACCTTCCTGCCTCTCTCTGCGGTTAGGTTTTGACTCCGGATTTATAAACACTACATCCTTATTTCTGTCCCTGTTTCAAAGCACTTACTGTGCTGTGATGTTTCTGTAGTTACCTGTTTCCAAATTGTGAGCTTCTTGAGGGTAAAGACTGGGTTTGATTCATCTCCAGTTTCTGCAGGGCTTAGGCATCAAGAGGTCTCAGTAAATTTGTTGAATAAACGTGGAGTCTGTGATTTGAATCCTGATGACAATCCTGGGAAGTGTGAGTGTTTGCATTTGCTTATACAGATGAGGAAAAGGCTTGGAGGAGGTCACACCTCTAGTAGGTAGCCAGCTGGGCTGGGATTTAAAAGCTGGTCTTTCTGAGTCCAAGGTCTGAGCTCTTCCCACCACACTAAATTTCCTTTTGAGAAGATTTTCGCAAAGCGTTTCAGGTGCACACAAAGGCCTAAATCAAAGTAACATGTGAAGGGAAGGAAGGATGTGAGTGTTGCAGTTTCAGGACAGGTTTGGGGTGAGGAAGGGAATGTCAGGAAGGACTCCTTGGGGCTTGGGGAATACTGGTGGTGGTCTTTTTCTTGGCCTGGGTGGTGTTTATTCAGGTGTGTAGAATTATTTTTTATACCATACGTTTATGGTCCGTATATTCTATTTTTTATACATATATTCTATTAAAAGCTGAAACGCATATAAATAAAATACACATTTGTGAGATGATTCATATAGCTGCCTTTCTGCTTAGAAATTATTTGAACATTGGGGCGCCTGGGTGGCTCAGTCGTTAAGCGTCTACCTTCGGCTCAGGTCATGATCCCGGGGTCCTGGGATCGAGCCCCGCATCGGGCTCCCTGCTCCGCGGGAAGCCTGCTTCTCCCTCTCCCACTCCCTGCCTCTCTACTTGTGCTCTCTATCAAATAAATAAGTAAAATCTTAAAAAAAAAAGAAAAGAGAAAATTATTAAAAAAATTATTTGAACATTATCAGTACCGACTTCCAACATTTATATGTATATTTAAAAAATGTGGTTTTGTCACATAGATTTCGCTACTGAAATACGGTCACATGGTAATGATTCTGGGGCTGAAAGTGTCTGTCTCTACTTTCTCGATTTCTGTGGCACCAGTTTCTTTCTTTCCTACCCTTCTCAGTAAACAAATTTGCTAGAACCTCAGTTTCTGTAAGCTTAGATTAATTTAAAACAGGACACCCCCCCCTGCCCAGTTAACACTCTGTTCTTTGTGCCTCTTTGGTACCTGGCTTGTAAATGTATTCTCCAGGCTCTTTCTTCTCTACAACAGAGTTCTGAGCTGACTCAGTACTCAGTACCTCTGTCTTGGGTCTTCCTCAAAAATTCCTCATTAAAAAACGTGTGGATGGGGGGACTCCTGGGTGGCTCAGTCTTATTAAGCATCTGCCTTCGGCTCAGGTCACGGTCGGATGAAGCCCCACTTTGGTCTTCCTGCTTAGCAGGGAGTCTGCTTCTCCCTGTCGCTCTCCCTCTGTGCTCTCTCCCTCTCTCTCTCAAATAAATAAATAAAATCTTAAAAAAAAAAAAACTTGTGGGTGCCTGGTGGGCTCAGTCAGTGGAACGTGCAATTCTTGATCTCAGGGTTGCAAGTTCAAACCCCACGTTGGTCTAGAGCTTACTTAAAAAAAAAAAAAAACTTGTAAGGACATCCACATGCACACACAAAAGAGGTGCCTGGGTGGCTCAGGTGGTTAAGCGTTTGCCTTCAGCTCAAGACATGATCCCAGAGTCCTGGGATCGAGCCCAGTGTTGGGCCCCCTGCTCAGCGGGGAGCCTGCTTCTCCCTCTCCCCTTGCCCCTCGCCCTGCTCATGCACTCTTGCCCTCTCTCCTTCTCAAATAAATAAATAAAATTTAAAAAAAAAATGCAGATACAGACAATACACCCTCCAAAAATTAACTCAAAATGCATGATAGATCGGGACGCCTGGGTGGCTCAGTCGGTTAAGCGGCTGCCTTCGGCTCAGGTCATGATCCCAGGGTCCTGGGATCTAGCCCCGCATCGGGCTCCCTGCTCGGCGGAGAGCCTGCTTCTCCCTCTCCCACTCTCCCTGCTTGTGTTCCTTCTCTCACTGTGTATCTTTCTGTCAAATAAATAAATAAAATCTTTAAAAAAAATTAAAAAAATGCATCATAGATCTCAGTATAAAATGCAGGGCTATTCAACTCATAGGAGATAATAGAAAACCTAGATGACCATGGGTGTGGCGGTGACGCTTCAGACACAACACCAAAGATGGGACTAATGAAAGAATTGATAAGCTGGACTTCATTAAAATTAAAAACTGAGAACATACTGCAAAAGACACAGCTGATAAAGGACTGCTGTCCAAAAAATATAAATAATTCTTAAAACTCAACAACAGGAAACAACCTGATCAGGGGCACTTAAATGGCTCAGGTGGTTAAGCACCCAACTCTTAATTTTTTTTTTTTTTTTTTTTTTTTTTTTTTAAGTAGGCTCCATGCATGGAGCCCAATATAGGGCTTGAACTCAGAATCCTGAGATCAAGACCGGAGCTGAGATCAAGAGTGAGATGCTCAACTGTCTGAGCCACCCAGGGACCATAAGCATCCAATTCTTCTTTTTTTTTTTTTTTTAAGATTTTATTTATTTATTT